GGCTGGTGGGGGGTGCAGATGGGGAGTGCGGGGCTGGACGTGGTCAGCAGGGGGTCAAGGGCCGGTGACCATGGCAGCCTGCCACTCCTCTGTGAGGCCTCAGTCTGCACTGCGGGGGCGGGGGCATCCCCTCTGGGTGGCCACAGACTGGGTCTGTCTGAATTGTTTGACCTTGTGGCCTCAGTGTCCTCCTGCCACCAGGCAGTATCACTCACACAGGTGACCGCACAGCAAGAGGAGGGCCCCTTTCCAGCCTCTCTTGCCATCTTTTCTTGGGGGACAGCCCAGAGCAGGTCACACAGGCCCCGGCGACAGGAAGGGCCTAGCCTTGACCGCTGGCTCCAGTCGTTCTGACAGGCCCCAGCTCCCCTACCCCTTACCCTAAGCACCCTCTCGCTTGCTGGACTCTGTCCTGCTGCAGGCGACTTGTAAGTTGACCTCGGCACCATTTCAGGGTGAGGTCAGGAGTGTACTGAGGTCCCTGGTGTGAGGGGAGCAAGTCAGGGGTCGTGGGCCCGTCCTGGCTGCCCATTCGGGGCCTGGCTCCTGCTGGTGACCCCTGGCCAGAAGCAGAACTGCCCAGCCCTCATCTCTCACCTTTGCTACTGTCGCCGGTGAACGACTCATTAACAGGTTTGAGCAGCACCAGGCAGGGGCTCTTCAAGGGCCGCTGCTATAAGCTGCCCCCTCCTCCCCACCAGGTACCTGAAACGCTTCAAGGTGATGAAGCCCAAGGTGCTGCGCAGCTGGTGCCGGCAGATCCTGAAGGGCCTGCTGTTCCTGCACACGCGGACGCCGCCCATCATCCACCGAGACCTCAAGTGTGACAATATCTTCATCACCGGGCCGACCGGCTCTGTGAAGATTGGCGACTTGGGCCTGGCTACCCTGAAAAGAGCATCATTTGCCAAAAGTGTAATAGGTAAACCCGCTTCTCCTCGCCAGCCCCNCTGAAAAGAGCATCATTTGCCAAAAGTGTAATAGGTAAACCCGCTTCTCCTCGCCAGCCCCGGCGGGCTCAGGAGGGGCTGAACAGGATTAGAGGGGCACAGGCATCCAGTTTTGCTTGAACACCCTGGACCTGGTGCAGAGCCCCAGCGGGGGGAGTATGCAGTTCAGCCACAGGGACCTGCCCCTCCAGGGGGCACGCTGACTCTGCTCCCTCCCTGCACTGGCCTGACTCTGGCCCTGTGTGGTCTTCGTGTTAATCCCTGGCTGTGTGTTGGGTGTCGGCACTGACCATCTAGCAAAGGTGGGGGCAGGGAGCCTGGGGCACTCAGGAGAGGGAAAGAGGCTCCGACTGCAGAAGAACTAGGGCACTTTGTAGCAAGTGACGCTGGAGCTGGTGTCATTGGGTAGGGAGGGGGTGCCCCAGGCTTTGAGGCCCAAGGAAGTGATATCTTGGAGTGTCTGGGAACAAACACGGCTGGGAGAAGGGCACAGAGTAGGTGTTCTATATAGGGTAGGAGGTGGGTGCAGAGGAATTTGTTTTGCTGGGAGTTTCTGGCCTTTCCACTTCCTATCCTCTGTCCTAAGCTCCAACACCTTTCGGGCTGAACTGTCCTCAGCCCTGGGGGGTGGCGGCCTGAAGCCGCTGTGGAGAGATGAGGGATCCATGTCGTGCTGTGCACTCTGCCCCAGCGTGGTCCTGGCACAGGGAGTGCCAGGTGTCCACCAAGCCTAGGTGGGGTCCTCATGGACTTTGAAGAGAGAGCACTTGCAGGGACCACGGGAGCAGCTGTTTGTGGGGGTCAAGTCACCTGGAAAGGGCTAT